GCCCTTAGGTGTTCTATACTTTCCCTCTTTAATGTTCATGTAATGTTAGTTCTACAAGTAACCATACATTGTATTACATCCTCACTACCAGCAGTTATGATGCTGTCCCTAACATCATTCTGGTTAATTTGTTCCTTAGCAGGTTTCTCAGGAAAAGTTCATAGAAACAATATGATCTGATTCTTTGCATGCTTCTTGCAGCATGTACCCTTCACACCTGAAGGTCAGCTTTGTTGGATATAAAATCCTCAGCTCACATTTTCTTTTACTGAGTATCTGAAATAGATTTTTTTTTTCTGGCATAGAAATGCCCAGTGATAATATTATTTTCTTTCTCTAATATATCACACACTATTTTTTTCTGAAAAGTTTTCTTCTTTCTTAAAGTTCAGCAATTTTGCCAGAATATGTCTTAGTTATAGTTATTCCAGGTTAGTGTTACATGGCCTGCTCTTTGAAATCTTGTCACTTTGGGAAATCTTTTTTGACTTCTCATTTTAGTATTTGTTCTGTTCTCTTAGGTTTTCTTCAGTGCCCCTGCTACCCATGTTACACCATCTTTACCATCTTTATCAAACAGTTCCTTAAGTTTTAAAATGTTTTCTTTAAACATTCCTTAAATGTTTCATCTTCACTAAGAAAATGTTGTTTCATTCTAACCAATTTTGTCATAAAGGCACAGAAATGTGAGTGTATAATACCCATATTTATTCTTTAGAATATTTCTATTGATGAATTATTAATTTTAATTTTATGAGTTTTATTATATTAAACAATGGGTACTTAACAAGAAAAATATATAAAAAAATAAAGTACTGAATTTTTGATTTTTTTTTTTTTTTGGTACCTGGGATTGAGCTCAGGACCTTGTGCTTTTGAGGCAGGTGGCAGAACCACTGAGCTAAATCCTGTTGTCACACAAGAAGTATCACTTACACCGACAGCACATATGTTTTGCTTTTCTGGCCTTTTTGTGGGACATATTTGACATCTCACTGGTCTTCCTGTTTTGTCAGGAGGTTATTGTATTATACTGCAGTACCGTGGATCGAACTCAGTATTTTGCACTTACGAGGCAGGCATGGTGCCACTGAGCTAAATCCCCGGCCTTTGTGCGTGTGTGTGTGTGTGTGTGTGTGTGTGTGTGTGTATGTGTGTGTAGTTAACAGGAATATAAACTATCAATAAAATAAAGTATTAAATTTTTAATATGTATTCCACATTTAGAATAAACATCAACATTTTCACATCAGCTATGTACTTGCTTATAAAACCTAAGAAATAACATCAGAAATAATTTTTTTTTTTTTTGGTACCAGGCATTGAACTCAGGACCCTGCACTTGCAAGGTAGGCAGCAGAAATGAATTCTTATATGAACCAAGTGAAAATACCAATAGTACTCTACAACAAAAATAATCTTTGCTTCCATTGTCATGCCCAAGGCAGTCTTCACGTATGAAAACTGCATGTTTCATGCACATACCTCGCTTACACTGACAGCATATGTGCTTTCTTTCCTTTCCTGTGTGGCAGGCTGTTCTTGTCACCTCTCTTGTATTTCTATTTTATCAGGAGCTTCTTACCATATTGTATAATGTCCATTTAGCAGGAAAATAAGATATCAATAAAATAAAATATCAAATATAATGAGTATCAGAGGGCAATCAATCCTCTGATTGCCTAGAAGGGGGAATGGCGAGGGCTAAAGAGAAAAAAGACAATAGAGACTTGTGTAATTTCAAAGTATTTGGGAGCCAGGAGGTCAGTGCCTCAGAGTGGGTGAAGACAAAGACTCTCCAAGCTAGCCATCATTTATTGGCTACACACAACCATTGGAGGGAGTATCAGGTGACTTAGGGGGTGGAGGTAATCCTATGTAAATGAGGATTTTTTTTTTGTACCAAGGATTGAACTCAGGACCTCCCACTTGCCAGGCAGGCACTGTGCCACTGAGCTAAATCACCGGACCTAGATAAGGATCTTATGCCGATGAAGAGCTTAGGTTATGAGGTTCTTATACTGAAGAGGACTGTAAGGAGAGCATTTTTACAATAGTAGATGGAAGGAGTTAAGTTGATTAGGAATTTGTCCCTCCCCAGGTGAAACCTTTCTCTTCTTTTTTTTTTTTTTTTTTACTACTTGGTTCTCAAAGAACCAGGATGTCTTCAGCTGATGAAATCTTACCCTTCAACCACACAGCATCACAGGATCATTGAGGCCTCAGCTGTGACCAGAGGCAAAACGGAGTTGTTTCCACATGCCATAGCCTGCTCTTGAGCAAGGTGACATTGAGCCTTAGACAACTATCATCATACTTTAATTATGAAATGATTTTTCCCCAAAATTTATGTAGAATAGCTCTTGACAATGAGTGCTTAGAAGAGACATCAACATTTTCACATCAGCTATTTACTTGCTTACAAAACCTAAAAGATCACATCAGAAATAAAAACTATGTGAACTACAATGTAGATACAAACAAGTTTACCACAGAAATAATCTTTAACTGTCACATCTAAGGCAATCTTCACACATAAAAACCACATGTTCCATACAAAGGTATCACTTACACTGACAGCACATATGTTTTGTTTTCCTGGGTTTTTCTTCTGGTTTTTTTGTTTTGTTTTGTTTTGTTTTCCAGTATGAGGGATCAAACTCAAGACCCTGCACTCGAGAGGCAGGTGCAGCACCACTGAGCTAAATCCCAGGCCCTTCCTATCCTTTTCTGTAGGGCACAGTTGATATCTTTTTTGTTTTCCTGTTGTCATAGTAGGTCTTTGTGATGCTACATCTGCCTGTTCACTTGTCAGCTCACTAGTGTGCTCCACAATTTTTTTTGTGTACAGTTCCCTGGGCAGAAACATTTTGTTTTTCCTCTGCTGTAAATGATCTCTTAGGAGTTCCAGTCCCAATCTTCTAAGAAAATTTCTCCATGGTAGTTTCCATTTGTTATTTTCTTTTTAAACTATCAAATTATTTATGTCACACGTTTAAGATCAAATAAAACACAACCATTGGCCAATGCTTTGCGTTTTGAGTGACATTATAGTTGCTGCATAACTTATCAACAACATCTACTCCACCTTTGGTTTTGTTGTAGAAAGTTACCACCTCAGGCTTCTGTTTTGAGGTTTCTCTATCAATATTTCCATAATAGTGCAATGTTTGTGTGTGTGTTTTTGTGGGTTTTTTGGTACTGGAGATCGAACTCGGGACCTTGCCAGAACCACTGAGCTAAATCCCCGGCCCAATAATAGTGCAATGTTGACATGAGCAGTACACTTTGGTTTTCTTGGCCATATATGAGACCAATATTATATCTTCCTGAAATCTAAAGATTGTACTATACAATCCTCTGTTTTGAAATTGCAACACTTCATTTGGAATTTCTGCTTTGTTCCTGTGTACAGTTCCTACACTAGTCAACTTGTGCTCCTTTAGCAAATGTAACATAAACTAGAAACTGATAAACCAATTGTCGAATGTCACATTCCAATTAGTTTGGGAAATAGGAGCAGCAAGTCTGTTCCCAACATCATTTGGGCCAGGCATGGTGGCACATGCCTGTAATCCCAGCACTCAGGAGGCTGAGGTGGGAGGATTGCCATGAGTTTGAGGCTAGCCTCAAATTCAAAAAAAAAAAAAAAATCATTCAGTTTATTACTATAGGAATAAGGACCTGGTGGCTGAGTTCCAGGATTAATTTTTGGGGTGGGGCTGAAATTCTTTTATTGGTGCATTTTAGGTATACGATACGTTTACGTTTATCATTGGGTGCTTGTACCTGTACATGATGTATCTTTTTTTTTTGGTACCACGGGTGGAACTTGGGTCCTTGTGCTTGTGCAGCAGGCGGCACATTGGCACATGATGTGTCTTGATTCTTTTTTCCCCATTACCTGTGCTCCCTTCCCTATTTACATAGACTTTGTTTCCATTTTTTTCTTTTCTCATAATTTTTCCTTTTCCTTCTTTCCTTTCCCCTTCCCCTCCCACTTCCCCTTTGGACCTTTTCTTCCTATTTCAAATTATGAATTATTCATTTTAATCATTTTAATCCTTATTTACACTTTCAGTTTCTCACACTAGAAAAACTATTCGGTATTTACACATGTGTACTATTTATTTCACTTAAGAGTATGGCCTCAATATGCATTCCAGGATTAATTTCTAAATTGACAGAATAATAAGTCTTTGCATCTAGAAAGGTATAATTGTGTGTGTGTGTGTGCGTGTGTGTGTGTGTGTGTGTGTGCAGGAATCAAACTCAAGGTCTTTCATTTGCCAGGCAGGCACTGTACCACTGTGCTACATCCCTGGCCCCAGGCAAAAATTTTTATGCCACATTTTTTTTAAAGATAGCTCTTTACAGGCTGGGGATTTAGTTCAGTGGTGCCACCACCTGTCTGGCAAGCGCAAGGTCCTGAGTTCAATTCCTGGTACAAAAAAAAAAAGTAGCTCTTTACTTTTCTTGGTATGGGAATCACACCCAGGACCTTGCACTTGCCAGGCAGGCACAGCACCACTAAGCTAAATCTCCAGCCTTTATGCCATATTTTGACCCATTGCTTTTTTTTTTTTGGTACTGGGAATTGAACTCAGGACCTTGTGCAAGGCAGGCCCGAGATGACCCACTGCTTTTCCATAAGTCTTTTGCATTCTTGTGATTACAATGAGAAATCCCTGCTAAGTACAGCAGACCTATGAATGCTTTCAGTTCAGCTAGTGAGATGTCATAGTAAATACATTTTTTAATATTGCTATTGGTGCATACAGAATGTTTTACTTGTATTTAGCCTTTGGGTATTTCACCCCATCTTGTAGTATTTTGTCTGTTATAATTTCCAACATTGAATGGCAGTGCTGGCATTCTGTCCAGTAGGTCACCCCTGCCAAGATACTCACTATATTTTCAGACCTAGTTCTAACATTGGATCATTCTATTTGGTTGTGTGACCATTTTGCAACATTTTGACTAGTCAAATATGTACTCACATTGCTGTTCTCTTAGTCATCTGAATCAAGGAAGTCTGTATTCCTTGTGTCTATATCAGTTGATTCTTGCTCCATTTCACTGTCACAGGAACTTCGGCTTACATGGCCAACATCAAAGTCATTATTACTAAAAAAAAAAAAAAAAAGTCATTATTGTCTTCATCATCCATGCATGAGTAATCTGATGATTCACTTTTGACCTCATCTAAAACTTGCAAATCTGGTTTTTTGTGTGCCACTGTAATGAATTCGGATATTTCTACCAGAAAAATCAAATGAAAATTTTTTTAAAAACAAATCCTACATGCAGAAATTTAGCAATGAACATTTCATGGGTAAAACCACTTGTTGCTGCTCTGGAGCTCCTGTACACCTTGCTATTCATCTGTCAAGTGGGTAAATGCAGATGGGTTTTTGCTTTCCCCAGGCGCAGCTACAGTGAGTCACACCCACATTCCATTATAGTTAAATACATGTTTTCATAACAGAAGAATGGTATGTATATTTTTTAATCTCTCTAATGCTCAGGTAAATATAAATAAAACCTGTTAGATGAAGCATTATGTAGGTAAAAATCCCAGTTTGACACTTTTGCACATGAGCACACATCTACATCTTGCCATTCATCCTACCAAGTGGGTAAACACAAAGATTGTTTCCTTTATCCCCCAGGCACAGCTGGCTACTATTATGCTAAAGTGCAAATTTACAGTAGAAAAGTATGCAATGGGTCTGGGTGATTGTAACTCAATGTTATGGCCTTTGTTTTTTGGTTTTGTGGGGGGGTTTGCTTAAATTCTTTTATTGGTACATTTTAGGTATTCAATATGTTTACATTTATCATTGAGTACTTATACCTGTACATGATGTATCTTGGTTCTTATTTTTTCCCCATTCCCTGTCCTCCCTTCACCCTGTTATGCCCTTTGGTCTAATTTTTTTCTTTTTTCTTTTTTTTGGTACCAGTGATGGAACTCAGGACCTTGAGCTTTCAAGCCAGGCACCAGAACCACTGCGTTAAATCCCCAGGCCTATTCTAATTATTTCTTAAGTTCTGTTGCCTCATTTCTGAATATTTCTGGTTGATCTGTTGTTCTTTCGAGTCTTCTATTATTTTCTCATTGCATAATAACAGATTGCTTTAGTCTATCTTTTTTTTTACTTTTTGTTGTCTATAAGAGTTGTTATTGTCATCTTCTCTTTTTTCCTTATTATAATTTTATTTAGGATTTGACCGTAATATTTTTCTATTGCTCATTTCATATAAAATTAATTATCCTGAGATTCTGAAGGCAGAGAAATTCAGGATATTCTTCTTGTCTGGGTAGAGTCCCCTCTTTTATTGTTTCCAAGTAGTGTGCGGAAACATGTCTTCCTCTCTGATATTCCTGGGCTCTTCTCTCATCCCTCATTTTTATCTGGACCTTACCTTTCCTCTTCTCTTTCCCTTCTTGCTCAACTTTGATTTCACTCCCAGCAGTTTTTTCCCAGTCCAGGTCCTTCTGGAAAGGAGGCCTGCAGAGTTTGTGTTGGAGATACGGCCTTGGGGACTGGACCCACCGAGCCTCACCACAGGCTGCTCACCCTCTCTGTCAGGAGCAGGCAAACACCCTCCCAAACTCAGCTACATGCTCAAGTCAGCCCTCCACAGTCTTCAGTGAATCTCTGTTGGCCCTCTCTCCTCTCCTGTTTCCTACAGGGTTTCACACATTCTCTGCAAATCACTTTCTCAGCTCACATTTGTCCACTTACATGAAACTCCTATAGATGCTGAGAGGCCAAGGGTAACTCTCACTGTGTCCCTGGATCAAGCAGAGAAGCTCTGCTCTTTGCTAGGTCACCCAGTGGGTTGGCTGAGCCTTATGTCTCCATCTGTTGACTCTCTATAGCCTAAGACATGACTAGAAGTGTCTCCTTTCTGCATCTCTTCCTGGCCTGCCTTCCTTCCCAGTCTTCACTACCCAGGTTGCTGCTCTCACTTTCTGAGAGCTCTACCCATGCCCACCCAGCTTCCATTGGCTCCTAGCACTTTCTAACCCAGACAAGAAAGAGGAGGAGGTTATACCAAGCAGGCCTGCAGATGGGGATCCAGAGAAGGCTCAGATGAGGGCTTCCAGGCCTAGTGTGTGGCTTAGGGTTATAAGCACTCAGGAGGCTGAGGCAGGAGGATTTACTCAAGTTTGAGGCCAGCCTTGGATACATAGTGAGTTCAGGACTAGCCTGAACTACATAGCAAGATTGTCTCAAAAAAAAAGAAAAGAAAAGAAGAGAGCTTCCAATATCAGATTCCCCTACCTGAGTCAACTGTTTGTCCACACCCCATACAGGACAGAGAGACAGAGCAGCCCAGCAATGGGAGCCCGAGAGAGAGCTCAGCTTCCCCTCAGTCTGGAGGGACATCACAGCATTTCAAGGTCAGTCACAATTTATTTTTTTTATTTTTATTTATTTTTTTATTTTTTTTTTGGTACCAAGGATCGATCTTGGGTCCTTGTGCTTACAAGGCAAGCAATGGAACCACTGAGCTAAATCCCTGGCCCATTCACAATTTAAACTGATCTGTCCTTGCATAGTGTTTTTTAAAATCATTTCTAAATAAAACAGAAATACTGGAGATGTCATTTCTCAGGCACATGGGAACAAACATCAGGTTCTGAGGGTAGCCTGAAGAAGCTTCTGAGGGTGGAGCAGGGAGAATGCTGGGAGCTGCCTCTGCTGGACCAGCAATCTAGTGTCCAAGTGGTCGGCCCTAGAGGCCCAGTGGAACTGCTGATGACTGGTTGGAATCCCTTAGGAGGGAGGGGGTATCACTGAACCCAAGGGACATGGTGCCCTGACTGGGGACGGATGATGCTGGAAGGTCAGCAGCCTTATGGTCTTACCAGGACCCGTGGCTATTTCCAACCCAGTGACAGTGATGGCTGCTTCAGGACCCAGACAGCTGGAGAAGGAGTAAGGGTGAGCTGGTTGGATGCAGGCTCGGAGGGGAACACATTCATGATCCTGACAATTTAAAACAAGAACAACTTATCTACTATTGTAATACAATCTGGGTATAATACGAACTGGAAAATGGCAAAAGATGGGACAGGATGGCACTCTAGACTATGAGACTACTGTCCAGTTACAGTGTTTCTTCTTGGAACACAAAAGGTGGAATGAAATGTCTTATGTTCAGGCTTTTATAACTCTTTGTCAAAGGAAAGATTCAAGAACTACAGTACTTAGTACAGGCTCTGAGGAGGACAAAGATATCCTGGATGATCCTGTTCTAAGATCCCCCATTTGTCTCTTGGGGATCTCAGTCTTGCTGGATCTATTTAGGGGGATAACCACAACAGGAGGTCACCTCCCACTTATAATCCTCAGACAATAGATCAGGTCCCTCCCCTCTAAGAAGCCAGGGGACTCCATTAGAGCCTAGTGCCCCAGAGGAAGCCAACATTCCTCAGCTCCCTCGTAGCCTCCTCAGATGCCCTAAGTCTCACCGGATACACACAGACAGCTTTAAGCTTCGAAGGTCAAACCCAAAATGATGCTTCCTACTACTCTGGTTCACAACTTGTCCTGGCCCTAAGAGAAATTCCAGAGATGGAAGGAAATACTCAAGTACATATTCCTTTATCAGTTGCAGATGTCTAACTGTGCAAAGACCAATTAGGCCAACTATCAGAAGATCCTAATAAGTTTGCAGATGGGTTTCAAACTTTGGCCCTTGCTTTTGATTTAACATGGTAAGATGTCCAATACATTTTGACCACTTGCTGTACCCCAGATGAAAAACAAAGAATCCTACAAGAGGCTAGGAACTATGCAGATGAATAACATGCTTTAAAAAGGGAAGAAAACCACCCTTGAGAGGTTATTCTCCCTTCAAAAGAACTGTAATACTCAGCATGTGAGATTCCATCTCACTCCAGAAAGAATGGCTGCTATCAAGAAATCAATCAAAGGCCAGGGATTTAGCTCAGTGGTTCCGTTGCCTGCCTTGAAAGCTCAAGGACCCGAGTTTGATCCCTGATACCAAAAAAAAAAAAAAAAGAAATCAATCAAGGGCCAGGCATTTAGCTCAGTGGTTCCAGCGCCTGCCTCCCAAGCACAAGGTCCCAAGTTTGATCCCTGTTACCAAAAAAAAGAAGAAAAAAAGGAGATATTAAGAAATCAACCAATTACAAACGCTGGAGGGGCTGTCGGGAAAAAGGAACCCTTCTCCACTGTTGGTGGGAGTACAGACTGGTACAACCACTGGGGAAATCAGTGTAAGATTTCTCAAAACACTAAAACTAGAGGCTCCATTTGACCCAGCTATACTTCTTCTTGGTATCTTCCCAAAAGAATTAAAAGCATCATATCCGATCAATATATGCACAACCCATGTTTATACCAACACAGTGTGTAATAGCTAAATCTCGGAAACAGCCCAAATGCCCATCAACTGACAAGTGAATAAAGATGTGGTTTCTTTATACAATAGAGTACTATTCTGCTATAAAGAAGGATGAGCTTCAGGCATTTATAGCTAAATGGATGGACCTTGAGACCATACTCCTAAGTGAAATAAATCAGACACACATGTTTAAATACTATATTGTTTCTCTGGTGAGAAACCTCAAATGGAAATAAGGACTAAAATGTATAATAGATATTGGAAAATGAGAAGAAAATGTTCAAATGGGAAGGGGAACAAGAGAGGAAAGAGGGAGAAAGGAAGGAAGGGACAAGAAAAAAGTGAAAATGGAAGGGAAAAATAGAAACAATACATAGGGAGGGGAGGGGGATTGAGGGGGGAATAGGATAAAATAAAATTTAAATAAAGGCATCTATCCAACAACAACAACAAAATACTCAGCATGGACTAAAAATGATGTCTAGTATGCTAGCTGCTCTTACCATAGGAATGAAAAGGTGCATTAAAAAGTCTGTTAAGTATGATAAAGTGAGTGGAGTCTTATAGGGCACAGAAGAAAATTCAGCTTTGTTTCATAACGGATTAGCAGAGGCCTTCCACAAGTATGCTAATATAGATCCATCTTCAGGGAAGGAGAGGCACTAATGGGACAACATATCATCTGTCAGTCGGTCCCAGATATTCAGTGTAAGCTACAAAATCTTCAGATGGGGCTTCAGACACCTATAACCCAATTGCTGGACACGGCCTTTTCTGTGTTCAACAATCAGGACCCAGAGGACAGAGAAAAGAGAAAGCCTAAGATTATAGCTGTTGCAATTGGTAATCCTTTAAACCTACCCAGGTCATCCAAGGAAAAACCCAGGGACAATGGAGGAAAGGGTTCTTGTTTCAAGTGTAAGAAGACTGGACACTGGGCACGAGATTGCACCAAACCTCCACCTGGGCTGTGTTCTAAATGTGAGGCAGCTAATGTGCCTGATGGATGGCACTGGAGGTTTGACTGTCCCCACTCCCAGAGAGGGGCTAGGCCAGCCAGAACCCTCAGTTCCTGCTCTGAGGACTGAAGAGGCCCAGGGAAACCTCCAATGCCCCTGTCCATGGATATCACCATCTCCTCTGAGGAACCCTGGGTAATCTTGGACATCATGGGTGAGCCAATTCAACTGGTTATAGATACAAGGACAGCTCATTCTGTTTTGATTTCCTTCTATGGGAACCTCTCCTCTATAGCCATGGCTGGGGTTGAAGGGACCCCTAGTTGGAGATTCTTTACTCTTCCTCTGATGTGTCACTTCGAAGGGCAAATGTTTAACTGTGAGTTTCTAATTGTCCCACAGTGTACTACTCCTTTGCTAGGAAGAGATTTATTAACAAAATTGGCAGGCCAGGGATGAAGCTGAGTGACACAGTGCCTCCCTGACAAGCGAGAGGCCCTGAGTTCAATTCCCAGTACAAAAGAAAAAAAAACTTGAGGGAAATTTCCAAATTCTAACTAAGGGCAAAACATATTTTACTTGTTGGGACCACACCAGGTCTCCCTAATCAAACCAGGCAACAGGTAAATCCTGCTGCATGGTATAAGGGATTACCTAGTAGGGCAAATTCAGCTATGTCAGTAATTATAAGACTAAAAGACCCCAGGCGATTTCCTAATCAAAAACACTACAGGAAATCCTATAACTCCTAGGGGCAGTCCATCTTCCCAGACAGGTTGCAGTCATGCACTATAAAGGACACCAGAGAGATATGTCTGAAATCTCCTTGGAAAATCAAAAGCCTGAAAGTGAGGCAAAATGGGCAGCCCTAAAGCCCCTTAAAACTCTAGTCTTATTCCCAGTTTTTGAGGAACCATTAAAACCAATCTATACCCCCCAGAAGGATAAAGGGGTAATTAAAAGGGGACTCTGGTGGTATTTAGGAAGCAAACTGGTCCTTCCCCAAGGAACACAGTGGAAGGCTATAAAAACATTTCATGATTCCTTTCATATGGGAAGAGATGCTATATTGGAAATGGTCACTTGAGTTTTCACAAGATTAGGACTAGCGACAACTACCAAACAGTTGGCAAAGCTTGTTCAATTTGTGCCTACAACAACCCAGGTAACCCCAAACCACCTCCTTTATTAGAAGCTGTACAGACGAGAGGGACATACTCTGGAAAGGACTGGCAATTAGACTATACCCATGTGTCACCATGCAGAGGATTTAAACTGATGTTGGTCCTAATTGACATCTTCATAGGCTGGATTGAAGCCTTTCCTATCTGTTCAGAAAAGGATACAGAGATAGTCAAGGTACTTCTTAAAGAAATCATCCCGAGATTTGGACTACTCCAGTCTCTCCAGAGTGACAATGGACCTTCTTTTACCTCCCAAAGAACTCAAGGAGTGTCAAAGACCCTAGGAATAAAGTACTGCCTTCATTCCACTTGGCGACCTCAATCTTCTGGAAAGGTAGAGAGAACCAACCAAACCCTAAAGTGAGCTCTGGAAGAACTTTGCCAAGAGATGTTTGAGTCTTGGCTCTGATTGCTACCAATAGCACTCGTGAGGGTTTATAACATGCCCAAAATTGGGATAAGTTTGAGCCCATTTGAGATGTTATACAGAAGGCCATTTCTATCCTCCAATATGATTATAGACCCAGAGATTATGAGTCTCTTAGAATATCTCATTAATCTGGGCCAAGTACAACAGGCTATCCAAATAACACGGGAACAGAATCCTGCCAGCTCCTGGCCCAGGGAACAATTAGTGTCCACCCTGGTGTCCAACTGCTTGTAAAAACTTGGAGAAAAGGGCTGGAGATGCAACTCAGCACAAGGCCCTAAGTTCAGTTCCCAGTTAAAAAAAAAAAAAAAAAAAAAAAAAAAACTTGGAGAAAGGAAACACCAGCTGACCAACTAAAATGGAAATGGAAAGATTCCTTTTCAGTAATCCCTATAACACCCACTGCAGTAAAAGTACCAGAGATAAATAATTGGATTCATCTTTCTAAAATAAAGCTAGTCCCACTTGAGCTGTCTAAAGAACAAGATTACCCAAAAGCAAAAGGCTATACCTGTGAACATCTGGAAGACTTGAAATTTCTCTTCAAAAAGCAAAGTTCCAGCACTGCTATAGATAAGTAAATAAGACCTTGCTAAAGCTAAGGCTCTTAGATTTCCCCCCACCAACCCCGTACCAGGAGTCGAACTCAGGACCTTACACTTGCTAGGCAGGGGCAGGCAGTCCTCCTCAACATAAAAACGTCATGACCTAAGATCTTCATCAGCATAATGTCCTCAGCCACATAGGATTACCTCCGTCCCCTAAGTCATCTGATACTGCCTCCAATTATTGTGTGTACCCAATAAATAATGGCTAGTTCACAGAGTCTTTGTCTTTGCCTACTCTAAGGTACTGACCTCCTAGTCCCCATATACTTTGAAATTATACAAACCCCTTTGTCTTTTTTTCTTTAGCCCTCACTGTCCCCCTTTCTAGGCAGCTGGAGGATTGATCACCCTCCAATAACATACTTCTCTAACATACATTCTTCTCTACAGGAAGCATGGAAGTCTGACTTGCTCCTCATATCTGGACTATAGTAAAGTTTCTTTCTCCCATCAAACAGGCAGCTTGAGGGTCACTAAGTCTTTTCTCATTATTTTCTGACAGATTTTTCTTCCCTCAACCCATCCACAAGCCAAAACATCTCAAGGTAGTTGGAGAGTACATAATCCCTAAAGGTAGGATCTACAGTTCCTTCCAGCTTAAAAAGCTACAGAAGACAGAGACCTCCACTCCTTCAGCACCCCATAAAGATTTATGGGATTTATGTCTCTCAGGAGGAAATGTTATAGGAGATAGGGCATGACAAAGCTGGCTGGGGAAATGAGCAGGACCTGTCAATTACAAGATCCCAGGGCAATATGAGGACCCTGTATGTAGAACTTCTCCCTGTCGAGAGGCATTCTACATAAATTTGGGGGGGGCAAATCATTTCATAATTAAAGTATGACTATACCTGTCTAAGGCCCAATGTGAGCTGGCTATGGCATGCAGAAACATAACTCCATTTTGCCTCCAGTCATAGCTGAGGCCTCAATGGTCTTGTGATACTATGATGCTCAAGGGCAAGAGTAGATCAGTTGAAGACATCCTGGTTCTTGGAGAACCTAATAGTAATTTTAAAAAGAGAGAGAGAGAAAGATTTTACCTGGGGGAAGGACAGATTCCTTATTAGCCTGCAATCTTGGCCCACCTACTATTGAAAGAATGCTCTCCTTACCACCCTCATCAACATAAGATCCTCAGTGACCTAAGATCCTCATCAACATAGGATCACTGCTGCCCCTAAGTCACCTGATACTCCCTGTGATTATTGTGTATACCCAATAAATAGTGGCTTGCTCAGGAGTGTCTTTGTCTTTGCCCACTCTGAGGCGCTGACCTCCTGGCCACCCATGTACTATGAAATTATGCAAGTCTCTATTGTCTCTATTGTCTTTCTTTCTTTACCCCTCATAATCCCCCTTTCTAGGCAGTCAATTGATCACCCTCCAATATGTCCCAAGCTCCCATGGATGATATAAAATAAGAGTGGCCATAATGGAAAGCCACTATCCTGTGTGAGTTTTCATAGTAGCCTGAGCCATGTCTGAGTGTAGTGTGTACTTTTGTGGGGGTTTTTGGTTTGGGGGACTGAACTTGGGACCTTGTGCTTTCGAAGCAGGCGCCGGAACCACTGAGCTAAATCCCAGGCCCTGTGGTGAGTACTTTTACTCTCTTTTTCTCTTTCCAAGTTCACACAGAGCTGATTTCTCCTATACTCTTTTACCCCACAATTTTCAAGTAAATTTTTTGGCACTGTTACTGTCCAAATCTTTGTTGAAGGCAAGAAGAACCTGGAATACTTTTGATTGGTGAGCCATTTTTAAAGAAACTATAATGGACCCTTGACTTACAAACTCAATTTGTTCGTGAGGGCTGGTTGTAACTCAAGTCAATCAATTGAAGGCTCAGGTTCCTCTACACAGCCTTCAAAGTCTCTCTGCTGTATTCAGGCAGACCTCAGTGTCCTTAGAGAGACATTTGTGCAGGATTTCTCAACGCCACACAGGAAAGGATGTTGTAGCATTCCTTCCAGAACTCTTTAAGGGTTAAATCTGTTTTTTGTTTTTGTTTCCTTTTTTTTTTTTCCCCTAGTACTGGGAATTGAACTGAGGACCTTGGGCCTGTCAGCCAGGCATGATGCCACTGAGCTAAATCCCCGGCCCTTTAAGGTTTAAATCTGTACATGAGACCATCCAGAAGCACAAACAGTCAGCATTTGGGTAGTAACTCAAGACTTTGGTTGTAAGTTAAAACTAAAATTCCAGTCATAACCCAAGTTGTTCATATGTCATATGTCAGGCCAGTTGTCAAGGGTCCACTGCACCCTATAACACTGTCTCCAGACCAGCCAAAGGCTCATGGAGCCAAGTTTGGGATCAGTGTGGCTCTCTCTTCATTCTGCAACTACTGTAGTTGTAAAACAAATCCATAGTCTCCCCTGCCCCACTCCCCATGGTGCTGGAGATGGAACCCATGGCTTCAAATATGCTAAGCACATACTCTACCCTAGGCCAACAGCCATGCTTTGGTTCAATTTCCAGATCCCTAAAAACTACAAGCAAATTTGTATAATGACTGCTCCCTAGACTGTCTTATCTACTTTACAGGTTAATTATGAAATCATTTATGTAGAAGAGTTTTGATAAATAAAAATGAAATGTGTGAGGCTGGGGATGTAGTTCAGTAGTAGAGGGCTTGCCTAGCATGCAGGAAGCCTTGGGTTCAATCCCCAGCACCATAAAAGAAAATAGTAAGTACATGAATGTAAGACAGTAGTGGTACTATGTCTTATTTCCCTTGCTTATGGGGAGGATGTATCTGTTGGCTGCTAGCCAAGTTTCTTTTGTTCCCATCCCCTTTTCCTGTTCAGCCCTAGCCTATACCATTCTTATTGTTATTGAAATAGCTGCTTTTACTTCTTAAACCAGGATCCACCCTTCCCCTCTTACAAAACACAACTCAAAGCCACCTCCTGTGGAAAAAGTTCAGTCCTGCAGAAGGAAATGATAAACTTCCAAAGAGGCGATTATACCACTCCCTCGGGTTCCCTCAGTCAGTATGTGTTTAAGTGTCTGGCCTGGTACACAGTAATGGGCACTTTTGTAGGAGCTTCATAAAGCACTTTTACTTACATTACGACCCTTAAAATATTTGTTTTCAGCAATGTTAGGTATTTTTAAAAATTAATACATTAAGAGCAAATGACTTCTCCCATAGCAGTATTAAATAGCTTGTGATAAAAAAAAGGAAGGAAAGTCACAGATCTGCCTTTGCCATTTACTAAACAGACTGAGTATCTTTTATTCAAAATGCTTGGTATAAAAAGTGTCTTCAGAAGCCAGGCAAGTTGGCACACACCTGTAATCTCTGGGAAGCTGAGGCAGGATGTCAAATTCCAGCCCAGCACTGTTGGCAATTTAGTGATTTAACAAGACCCTCAAAATAAAAAATAAAAAGGGCTGAAATAGGCAGGCATGGTGGTGCACATCTGTATTCCCAGCACTCAGCATGCTGAGGCAGGAGGATTCCCACGAGTTCGAGGCCAGCCTGGGCTGTTACATAGTGAACTTAAGGCCAGCCTTGACTATATGGTGAGATCTTGTCTCACCGCCCCACCCCACCCCCCAGTGTAGCCCAGTGAGAAGGCCCTGGGTTCAATCTCTAGTATTGGGGGGGAAAAAAGTATCTACAATTTCAAATTTTTGAGTGCTTGCATATAAATAATGAGATTCCTCTGAGATGGGACCCAAGTCTAAGCAGAGGAAACCTTTTTTTTGTACTGGGGAATTGAATCCAGGACCTTGCAAGCACTCTGATACTGAGCTGCATTCCCCAGACTTTTTCATTTTGAGACAGGGTCCCATTAAATTGCCCACTGACCTCCATTCTCACAAACAACGCATACTGTACCTTCATTCCTAACAGTTGTAATACTGTTATCGAGAGCTCTATGATGGTGATGACATCTGGTTTTGCTCTCCACATAATCTCCTGCATTTACTGCTGCACTTGTAACACAGAACTTCAATTTTATTGGATAAATGAGTGAGATCTAAAAACAAATTTTCTGATTCGCTCTAGATTTGACCACTTAGTCTGGGAAAAATACTGTTAGTGATGCGGGGGACAGCAGAATGAGGTAATGTGGATATTTCACCTGAGATAAAAGATACTATAAACTTCAAAAGACTAGACACCGCTGAGCAGAGTTCACTGGGAACATTTTAGAATAGTTCTATCAGGATATCACGACTTCCACTGAGAAAACCACCACCACCAAGGCTGCAAGCGACGGACTACAGCGCGTTCTGGCGCAATACCTGAGCTGTAAAGGCTCATTTCCGTACGACTACCCAAGATGGCGGAGCCCATGATTGAAAACAGATTCAAGATGGCGGCCTACAGCTTCCCCTGCAGTACTGCACGTGGCTCCCGGCCACGCCCACTTCCGGCTACTCCACCTCAGCATGGCTACCTTGGGAACTCTGCTCTCTAGTGAGTGGGTCAGGGTCTCCGAACTAGGGAACCAGAAAAGGGCGGGCCTGCAACCCCTGCACTGGCTGTGCGGCCAGTCCTCTTAACTCTGTCCTGTTTTCCCAGTAGGTGTCCGGAGGCTGCACTGCAGCGCGTCGGCTCGGGCTGGCAGCCGGTGGCGCCTCCAGTGAGTACTGCTGGGTCGGGAGCGCGGGGTCCCGCAGGCGGACGAGGGCCTCACCGAATTATTTTTCTCCCCGCAGGCAGGGCCTGGCCGCCAGCGTTTCCGGCTACGGGCCTCTCACCGACCTTCCGGACTGGTCTTTCGCGGGTGAGCAAGGCTTCCAGTTTACCTGTGCGATTCTTCACTTGGAGGGGCGGCCAGGCCGGGAGGGGCGTGGTGTCGCATGGGGGCGTGTCTGGCGCGGAGTTTTGGGAAACGGGGTTTGAGGAAGAAAGGAAGCTCTCTTGTTTATTTTTGTCAAACCACGACTAAGGAAAGTAAAGATAGAAGGGATCATCTTGGGTTGTGGGGATAGGCAGGAGATAATTCACATGAGCCGCCCTGGGACTGCAGGGGATGACAAGACAACGTTGCTTGAAGGGGACATGATATTCAAATGAGAGGAACAGCCTTTTTTTGGTGTGCAGAGTACATTTGAGAATTTGTGTCAAATGCAAGAGAGTGAAGACTGAGCAGGGAAGCCTCTTTCAGAAGTCTTTTCCCGCCCCCTGCATGGTGACGCACATCTGTAATCCCAGCATTTGAGAGGCTGAGGCTGGATGATCACCATGAGTTCGAGGCCAGCCTAAACTACACATCCAGACTGTCTCAAAAAAAACGACAAAAAGAAAAGTTTTTCTCTTAAAAAGAAGCCAGGCATACTGGCACTTGTTTGTAATCCAACACTCAGGATGCTGAGGCAGGAGGATCTTGAATTGAAGACCATCCTGGGTGATATAGGGAGACCCTGTCTCAAAAAGGGAAGAGGAAAGAGAGAATGTAGATATTTTCTAAAGGGGGAGGGAACCTCTGAGAGTCTTCCCCATTCTCTACATGGATTCCGTTTACAGGTAGGGAAATTGAGGCATGTAGAAGTGAAATGCCTGTGATCATACAACTAGGTAGTAGTAGCAGAAACAAAGCCAGAAGTAGAACTAGGTTATAGCAAGGCTTCCTTCACAACACAGTGACCCAAGTAGTAATACCCTATTGGATTCTCTAGGAATCTGGTCCTGCTTCTTCAGATTCTTGGTGACAGAGGATTGTGAAAATGTTTCTCCACTTGTTACTGTAGGAAGCCTAGGATTTCTTTGTAGTAGTGTGGAGGAATATTACAAAGATTGGAATTTTATATAGCTGATTTTCTTTTTTTTTTTTTAACAGTGAATGGGATTGAACCCAGGGCCACTTGCATGCTAAGCAGACACTACCATTCCTTGCCCCCGTGCCTTATTCTTTTTTTTTATATAGGGTCTCACTGTGTAATCAGACTGGTCTAGAACTTGCAGTCCTCCTGCTCAGCCTCTATAAAGAACTAGTCTCAGCTATGTACCTAATTCTTTTTTGGTTCCATGAGACAAGGTCTCTATGTAGTTCAGGCTGGTCTTGAACTGACTATATAGCCCAGGCTGGACTTCAACTCACAGTGACTTTCCTGTCTCAGTCTCCTGAATGCTGGGATTACAGGTGTGCACCACCAATCCCTCTTACCTGTCTTGCCTTCAAACTTCCGGGCAGAATTTTCATTGTTTGTTTCTCTGAAGAAAGTAAGTGCCTTTTCTCCACATCTCTTCTAATAAACTAAGGTCAGGTACTGTATATTTTCAGCAAGTCACAGATATTTATGGAATCTTCATCACGTGCTTATATTATAAATTGTGAAAGCTAGCAGTACAGACCATGATTTCAAGAAACTTAAAAGTCTTGCTGTTTTTCCATTTTAAAAATTAAATAGTATTTCAGTACTCTACCCCTTTCCAGAGGATATGAGATAGCTAAATAATGGTAAAAACAACAGTACAGTAAATGGGCCAAGGCAAATGGATGAATATCAAGTGAGCTTCTTTCAGAAGAGAGAGCTAGCATGCATGAGGCCTGGATTGAAGCCCCAGAGAAAGAGAGAACTGATGAAGTTGATGAGATTGGAGAAAAGTTTCTAGGAAAGCTAGGACTTACTGGGCTATAGGATGAGAACATGGCTGGAAGGGAAGGAAAAGAGGGTATTTCATTGTAGAGTGAGAGGAGATTTAACAAAGACATTCCCTGAGTCTTTTGGAGGTTTGGTTTGGAAACAGGTTCTTGCTTTGTAGTTCAGGCTGGCCTCACACTCTCAGTCCTAGAATCCAGCATCAGCCTCAGCGCAGGGATTCTCAGTCTGCAACCCACACCTAGCACATTAAGGGCTTCTGAAGGTAAAAACAGTGGGTTAGGCACTGCAGGTTGCCTTGAATTCCAGGCTAAGGAGGGGTAAGTAAATAAAGAGTAGAAGCATGCCTAGGCACTTGCTTATGGAGGGTCTGTTCTACTCCACCTTTGAAGACAAGGGACTTCAGAGGAATTAAGCTATAGTGCGTATGAAACAGAGGAGAGGAGCAAGAGAGGAGTGTCATCCCTGTCAGCGTTTCGACAAGGTGCTGCTGACCATCTCTAACACTTGCCTCTTCTCTCACTTCTGTCTATAGATGGCCGTCCTGCTCCCCCAATGAAAGGCCAGCTTCGAAGAAAAGCCCAAAGGGAGAAGTTGGCAGTGAGTGGCTAGAACTCCAGGGCTTGGAGGGATACTTTTAGATCAAAATTTGTCTTAGGTGTGGTGGCACAGGCCTGTAACCCCAGCATTCAGGAGGCTGAGATACATAGTGAAACCATGTCTCCAAAAAAAATTACCAGTCATGGTGGCATGCACCTATAATTCCAGCACTGAGGAGGCTGAGACAGAGGATTGCCACGAGTTTGAGGCCAGCCTGGACTATACAATGAGACCCTGTCTCAAAAAACTAAAAAAAAAATTTGTCTTCAGCTTTTTTACACCTAAGCTAACATGTATGCTGCCTACAGCTAAATGTGGGGGTTTTTTGGTACAGGGGGTCGAATACAGCTAAATGTTTTAATGACACTGTGAGAAGGGAGGAATTGAGTGGGGCGCTCCCAGGGCAGAACTCAGTAGTGGTCATTCAGCCTCACATTTTCTTGCCTCCCTCTGCTTCCCAGCCTAGGACTTAGTGCCGCCCGTTCCCAGTCAGCAGCGTTAACTTCCAGCTAAAACTTGTGACTTTGTGAAAGAAAGGATGTGTGATGCATTGCTCAAGCTCCAGATACTATCCATGGCTTTCCTGTCTGTTTCAGAGACGAGTCGTTCTGCTGTCACAGGAAATGGATGCTGGGTTACAGGCCTGGCAGCTCAGGCAGCAGGAGAAGTTGCAGGAGGAAGAAAGGAAACAGAAAAATGCTCTCAAACCCAAAGGGACCTTGCTGCGGAGCCCACTCCCAAGTCAATAAAAAGCAACTGCTGTTCCCCTTCCCCAGCCTCTCTGGCTTTCTTTTCCATCACCTGAATGTGTCATCTCAGCCAAAAGAGAGCCTTTATGTTTTGTCTTTGGAGCCAAAGAGCTGGCACACCAGGATAAAGGGCTGTGAGATCATTGTCTTCCAGTGCCCTGATCCCTGGCTCCATCCCAGTTTGGCTGAGTGTGGCTCTGGGGTTCTTAGCCCTTCCTTCGCAGGCCACTGGACTACCCAACTATAAGCAGTAGCCGCTCTGTGAACATGAAAAATGGACAGCAGTTCTCCTGGCTTTAGCCAGCACTCATGTCTTTAATAGCTCCACCATGTGTTGCTGGTATTTAATAAATGCTTGGAAAAGAAAGAAAAATAAAGCTTAGATGAAAAAGCCTTTCTAGCTGAGATCTCTTTCTAGGCAAGTAGTTGGTGTCAGTTTCCCCAAGGTTCAGGAGCCCCAGAAGGATCCCCCCACTGCAAGGCTGACATGGGAAGAACCAAACGGGTTTTAGGTTCTGAGACCTATAGTGGTTCGGAATGAGTTCCAGGGGTTGGCTAAAGAAGGGCCTGCACAGGGGCTGGGGATTTAGCTCAGTGGTTTCGCTGCCTGCTGCACAAGTGCGAGGACCCGAGTTTGATCCCCGGTACCAAAAAAGCGCCTGTACCTCTTCACCCCTACACAAGAGCTCAGCCTCCAAACAAGTTAGGGAATCAGTATCTAATTCCCACCATATACCTCCCACAAACTCAAAGCCACTCAGGACCTGGGAAGCCTTTCATTTTATTGATCATGACCCCTCTGTGGATTCCAGGGCAGAGGACTTTGCCCCTTCCCAGGACAGCACTGGACAACCATCTTTCTGCCACAAAAGTGATAGTTCCTGGATCCCTAGCATTTCTAGAGCTTCCAACCTGACCTTATTTTTGTCCACCCTCTCCCCTTTAATCTTTGCTTTCTTTCTCTTCCCCCCACTACGTCCTTCCTCTCGCTGACCAAACGCAATTCTTGGATCTTAGATTTCGCTGATGGTCGAGTTTTCTGTCTCCCACACTTTTACTGGTTCTGTTGTGCTGCTTTTTTGCTGCTTTTCCAGATGTAGTTCTCAACTTCCTATCTCCCTTTCTCACCGACAATTTTAGCCTGCCTTCCCCATTCCCTGCATACCTCACCTTTTGTTCTCAGAGTCCTTGAAGACTTTAGCCTTAAGGAATTGCTTCCTTTTCCAAGGAAGAAGCAGAACTAAACTTCAAAGAACTAACCTCCAATCCCTTCCTCTTTTCCAACAATTTCACCAAACTTGATTTGCTTTTCCTCAGATTCCATGGTTTTGTACACCTTCCCTCCCCAGTTCTACTTTAGGCAGCACCTAGATTGTAAGGGACAGTGTAGGGAGTGTGTTGGGGGGGGGCATATTTGTCTTTCTACAAGATTGGAACCCCCCCCCCCAGACCTAGTGTACTTATGGGGTTCGGTAGATAGTTGGGTTTTGTTGCATAGCTTATTGTAGCAGAGGTTATTGTAAACAGGTCCCAACAGGCACCCGTATAGGGACAAAGAAGACCGCTCCCCACCACCACCCCAGCCCCGAGCTCCTGTTGTACCACCTCGCCTCTGAGGCAAGTGCTGAATACCACAGGAATCAAGCCGCTTAGCAGAAGGTCTCCTACATCCCAGCCCCTGCGTCCCCCTCCAGCCCCCAGTAGTCCGCCGTGGCCTCAGCCCCTGCAGATGGCAGTTTGGCTGTACCGCTGAACCAACCACGTCCCCAGGAAAGGAGGGCATTAGGGCGGGGGCGGAGGAGAGGCTGCGGGAGAAGGGAGGGACCAAAAGGAGAGAGCGGAGAGGGCTCCGGCCCACTTCGCCGACTAAGCAGAAGAAAGCTCAAAAACGGAAAAGAGAAGAAGAGCAAACAGGCACTTTCACGAACAATCCCGTCACCTCCAAGCTGACCACGCTCTGGGAATCCAAGTTCAGCGGCTCCCGGAGACAAAGGCGCCCGGCGGGAGCGGCGCGGACCCCAGGGCGCGGGCCCCAGCGGGAGCCGCACGGCCCGTCTCCCCGCCGTTTCGGACCATGTCTCCCGCCCCCCGCGGCCCCCGCAGCCTCCTGCTCCCCCTGCTCACGCTCGCCACCGCGCTCGCCTCCCTCGGCTCGGCCCAGAGCAGCGGCTTCAGCCCCGAAGTAAGTGATCCCCCGGCCCTTCCCGGAGCCGCGCCTGCCAGGACGGCCCGGCTCGCGAAGGAGGGCTCTCGAACCTCGCTGGCTGCCCCGGCCTGCAGAACCCCCTCCCGCTCTGCTCCTTCCTGGTCTTCAAACTTCCAATCCTCCCAACTTTTGCCCGCCTCCGACCAACCCCCCTCCGCGCCGCCGACTTTCTTCCCCATTCCTTCCTTGGCTTGGAAGAACTTTACAGCGGGTGCGCCCCTCCATTCCCCTGGGCCGTGCGCTGGCTCTGGAACCATGGGGAGCCTGGACAGCCTCGGACTCCGCGCCAGCCCCGTGCTGTCGCTGTTGTCATGTGCGAGTTGCTTGTTCCCACAAGTTTCCTGCGCCCTCGCGCCCGCCGCGAGCCGGGCCAGCGCGCCCAGTACGGACGCATCTGCAGCCAGCTGCATCGGGTGCACGGCCCAGCGCCCCCGCGCTCGGAGGGGACCCCTCTGTGTGCGGCCCCCGAGCCCTGGCGTCGAGGGTCGCCGCGTTTCCTTGCGCACAAAGCTCTCCTTGTGAGGCGGGGGTGGGGGGCTCAGCCCGGCCACCGCCTCCCCTGTCCCCACCCCCGCCGGCGCCTTCAGGCCTTTTTGTTGTTAATTGTTTTTCTACGTTAATCGCACGGTGACTGGGGGTTTTGCACGGGAGTAGAGGGAGGGCTGGCCCAGGGCGCCCCGACCCCCGTCCTCACCCTTCCCGTGACCACGGCCCACCGAGCCCGGGAGGAAGCCGCGTGGGAGTTGCCTGAGGAAGTTTTTCCTCTCACTCTTTTATTTTGGGGTCAAGGTGGGAGACGGATTTAATCAGCTTCTTATTTTGGGCCATCCCAACCCACTCAGCCCGACGAGGGCCTGGGTGCGGTCGGGAGGGGCCGGGAAGGGCCCAAGAAGGGGGATGGGATCTGGATTTGGTTTCCTGTGCCCTGGTCTCCAGTCCTGGACCCGAGCCTGGAGGGAACTTCTCCAGAAAGAAGAGCTAACACGCTGTGTGTCCCTGAAGGGATCAGAGGCTACACGGAAAAGTGTGGCCCTAGGAGTGGAACTGTAGGGCTCAAGAACCAAGGAGAATAAAAATCTGCCCTGAGGCCAGAGGCTAAACCCGGTGGTCTGGGAGAAGGCGGCATCCTCTTCCCAGGCCTGGAGCCCTCCTCTGGACGGAAAGGGAGAGTGCCTAACAAAAGGCGCCTGGGCATCTGGGGGCTGCCCAGCTGCCCACTGCCAGCTTCACGCCCTGCTCATTTTTCCTCCCCTGCCCTGCTAGGTCCCCTAGGGGAGGGGCTGCAGTCCTGGCTCGATTTTAAGTGGGTCATGGGCTATCTCAGTGCCAGAACCGCTGTTTCGCTTCTGGGGTTATGGAAGGGTGGGAGGCAGAGGGAGGGAGGGGCAGGTCCAGAGCCCAGAATCCAGAGCCTGCTGTAGAGCTGCAAAGCCCTGTTCACTCCAGGACTCCCAAGGAGGGAGGTATTCCCTTCACTTTTCTCTAGGGGAACACCTCTCAGCTCCCATTCATCAGGAGGAAGCCAGCCAACTGAGTACTGCAACCCGACGTAGTTGCTCCTTCTCCAGGCCAATCTGGAGGAAAAGCTGGGATGGTCTAGGCCTCAGCCAGCCCGGGCCCTCCCACCAGGCCTCCACAGCCCTGCACCAGCTCCAGCGCAGCCCTCTCCTCCTCCTCTTGGCCTGTCTGGCACTCTGCCCTTCCCCCGCCCAGCCGCAGACACAAGAGTCCTCTCTTCTGTGGTTCCAACCTCATAGTCTGTGGTTCTTGCTTTGCTCCAAGCCTGCCCCTGTGAGATGGAGGGAAAAAACTTGCCTAGGCCTCGCCTCCTCCTAGGAGGAGGAAAGGGACAGGGGCACTTCCTTTCCAGGCCTTGTGGCACGAGTTCAGGGAAGTCTCTCTCATAATTAAGGCTCCATTTTTCTTTACAGGGCATAGGGCAGGGCTTGTGGGTGTGAATATTTAGACCTGCCTACCTCTTGACTCACAGGAGAGGGATTTATCCCAGAGCTCCAGGTTGTAGATTCTCCCCACCTCTCTGTCACCCTCCCACTTGTCACCCTGCCATAGGCGCATTCCCCACAGTGTGGCTCTCTGAGGGTTGAGGGGCCTGGCCCTAGTCTTCCTGACTTCCGGCTTCAAAGGTTGGTGTCTCTTGTCCTTCCCAAGTCCTGAAGCACCTGCTGTTCTGCAAGGATTAGAAGCCCAGGGCGTGTCTATCCTATAGGTGAGGCTAGGGGCAAAGGGAGTGTCCTGCATACTTGGACACAGGCTACAGCAGGCCTCCCGAGGGCGCTGGCAATGACATCAGTCAGCACAGGTCAGGGCACGCCTACAGCTCTTGAGATCAGCTCTGAACTGGAGCACCTTGACAGGCTTCCCTGGGGTATACTAGAGGTAAAATGTCACACTCCTGTACACCTGAGGTGGGGCTCTCAGAGCCAGGTGGTACTGGGGTTGTTCTGCCCCACACTATTGGCTGGGAAAAGGACTGAACACTTGGATTGGGAAAGCCCTGTTCAAGTGTTTTTTGTTGTTTTTTTTCCGGTACCGGGGATCGAACTCGGGTCCTTGCGCTTATGCAGCAGGCGGCAAAACCACTGAGCTAAATCCTCGGCCCAGGGAAAAAGATGTTTATTTTTATCTGCAGCCCTAACTGCTGTCAGCCTTGAGGGATCACTTCCCAAAAGTATGTTGCAATTCTTGCCCCTGTGGGCTCAGGTCCCCAGTCAGCTGCTCCTGAATCACCCCCATTCCTAGTACAAGAACATTGCTCCACCACCCAGCCCTGCGCCTAGGTGGAAAGGACCATGTGGAGATCCATCCTGCAGACCATGGATAGGGGGTGCAGCACTCTGCCCTTTCCACCTTCTCTGCAAGTCCCTGTCCTAGGCGATCTGTAGCTTTCTTTTCACTCTTTAAAAAGGCAAATCTGGACCAGGGACCCGAGCTGTCTGAGTCATGTCTCATAAGAAAATCCAAACATCTTCATGTTTCATATATATCTTAGCTTGTTTTACTTTTCAAGCATTAGGAAAGTACTCCATTGTTCTTACAATAAAGGCTGACTTTTTCCTTGGTGAGGCTTTGCAGTGTGTGAACCTTTCAATAAAAATACCAAAAACCTGGCTGGGGATATAGCTTAGTGGTTCTGCCACCTGCCTCAAAAGTGCAAGGACCCGAGTTCAATCCCTGGTACCAAAAAACAGCAACAACAAAAAAAACACCAAACACTTAACTTTGATTTAGGGTAATTTTCAGCCTTTATGTTATGAACAATTCACAGCACACCTGAAATAGAATACTACAGGCACTAAGTTTTCGCTGCCTCCCCTCTCTCCCACTCCTTCTTGAAAGTCTTAAATGGGCTTTGAGGTCCCAAGGCCTAGGTCAGCGGTGCTTGACTGAGGACATGGCTAGATCAGACCTCTCACCACCTCCAGAGGCCCCAGCTTCCCCTGTCAGCAGCCAGCTTCATCTGTGGCTCCTCTGTTGCCCTCCTTTCTAAAAAGATGTCAGTGCGGGGATCCTGGAGACATGGCAGCTTTGTCCTAGGAGAGCATCATGCTAAGCACAAAAGTATAGCCTTGATGCCACCCCTGCACCCATCATGGGCATAAACCATTCCCAGGTGGGACATGATATATTTGCAAGAACACTGACCCAGAAGTCAAAAGTACTGGAAGGAATCACAGCTCTGAAAAGACACCATAGCCGTCTCTGTTAAACTACCAGGGCTCTCATTTTTCAAGAAAACTGCAGTCAGTCTGGAGCTATGGCTGCCCATTCCTGTCAGTGCTCATAGGCCCAAGAACACAAGCCATTCTGGGGCCTAGGCCAGAACAGCCTGGGAGTTCCTCCAGAACCAGTGCCAGAGCCTGGCTGGGAGCACATGGCCCTTCCCTCACCAAGCCAAGGGTGCCTGCCTGCCAGGGACTACAGGGATACAGATGCACCCCTCAGCCAAGTGGGGGTGCTCTACACCACACCCCTCTCACTCCAGGCCTGGCTGCAGCAGTATGGCTACCTGCCCCCCGGGGACCTACGTACCCACACACAGCGCTCACCTCAGTCCCTCTCAGCTGCCATCGCTGCCATGCAGAGGTTCTACGGTTTGCGGGTGACAGGCAAGGCTGATGCAGACACCATGAAGTAAGTGCTCCACCCCATTAGGAATTCTGCCCAGCACCCACTGGCAACGCCGAGCACCAGAGATTTTGCCACATGAATTCCTGGCTCCTTCCCCCATGCTGATCTGGACCCTCTCAGAGTCACCCTGACCTCATAACCTTGGCCTTTCCTCACACTGACACACACACAGCCTCGCCCTGGCCTGCTGCTGGGGCCAGAGGCCAGGATCCAGGGCCTGCTGTAGAGCTCCAACCTCTCCCATGGATCCCTTTTTCTTTCATACACCGCACTGACCCCAGTGCTTCAACCCCAGGGCCATGAAGCGCCCCCGGTGTGGTGTTCCAGACATGTTTGGGGCTGAGATCAAGGCCAATGTTCGAAGAAAGCGCTACGCCATCCAGGGCCTTAAGTGGCAGCATAATGAGATCACTTTCTGGTGAGTCCCACAGGCCAGAGGGCCCTCTCCCATCTGGCACTCTTCCCTGTCGCTTGTGTTACACAGAGACCCAGAGACTTCCTGCACTTCTCCCCTCCATTCCTGGGAAACATGCTGGGGAGTGGGGAGGAAAATGGCTGTAATTCTGAAGAGAGTGCAGCCACCGGCATGCACCCTAGTGCCTGAGAGCCAAAGCCTGAGGACCCCCTAAGCTCTTGGGGCTGAGGCATTATGTATGGGCAGCTGTCAGACCAGAGAGAGTGCAGGCAAGGAGAGTTTCGCCCTTGTTATCTTAACACACCCCATCCTCTCCCCTCATGGCTGGACCTCAGCATCCAGAATTACACCCCCAAGGTGGGTGAGCATGCCACATATGAGGCAATTCGCAAGGCCTTCCGTGTGTGGGAGAGTGCCACACCACTGCGTTTCCGAGAAGTACCCTATGCCTACATCCGAGAAGGCCATGAGAAGCAGGCCGACATCATGATCCTGTTTGCTGAGGGTTTCCATGGCGACAGCACACCCTTTGATGGTGAGGGCGGCTTCCTGGCCCATGCCTACTTCCCAGGCCCCAACATTGGAGGGGACACCCACTTTGACTCTGCTGAGCCCTGGACTGTCCGGAATGATGATCTGAATGGTGAGTGAGGGAGGCCTGGGTCCTACACTGGGGAGAGGTTCTCCACTTTCCTTCCAAAATCCCAGGGCTAGAGGGAACCACAGAGATCTCCCAGTCTAACTCTAACAAAAGCTAGACTCCTCTTTTGAGATATTTACATCGGCTCTTCTCACTCGCTCCCTGACGGACTTTTTAATCAAAGACTTCAAAGCATCCTTCTCATCCACCTTTCTAAGCAAATACTGTGTTGAGCTCTTGGGAGAAACTGAGGCCTTCAGAGGGCCTTACCTTCCCTTAACACAGGTCTTTCTGGGATTAGAATGCTACCCCACAGCACTCTTACTCCACCTAGATTTGTGCCTTCTGTGCCAAACAGGAAACTGGACCTCAGGCTTTGGTCACTGGGTGGAAAATATGGCCCATTGCTTGTGTGTGGGGAAGCAGAGAGTGTGAGAGAAAAGGATCTAGGCTGCTGTCTCACCAACCCCATCCCTCCAGGGAATGACATCTTCCTAGTGGCTGTGCATGAGCTTGGCCACGCCCTGGGTCTGGAGCATTCCAATGACCCTTCAGCCATCATGGCGCCCTTTTACCAGTGGATGGACACGGAGAACTTTGTATTGCCTGATGATGACCGCCGGGGCATCCAGCAACTTTATGGTGAGGAATCCAAGTCCACCCTTGCTCCTTCTGTGATTTTGTTCCCTCCTGGTCCCTCTGGTCTATGCACCTTCCCTCTTATACCCTGCAGTCTTCACACATGAGCATCTGACACACACACACTGCCTGACCCTACCTCTATTAGCTCCCACCTTTGAGCACACTTTTCTGTCACCTCCAGCTGACTATGTCAGCTTCCCAAAGGGACCCATCCATACCTTTTTTTAGGGTACTTTCTGGCCATGTGTTTGTCCTTCCAACTCTGAAGTGCCCCTTTTGTTCTGTCCCCCAGGGAGTGAGTCAGGGCTACCCACTAAGATGCCCCCTCAACCCAGGACTACCTCCCGGCCCTCTGTCCCTGATAAGCCCAAAAACCCCACCTATGGGCCCAACATCTGTGACGGGAACTTTGACACCGTGGCCATGCTCCGAGGGGAGATGTTTGTTTTCAAGGTGAGAGGAAGAAGTGGACTGGTTCAGGGAATAAAAGAGCTGTATGGCAGGGAGGTGGGGCGGAAACAGCAACAGGACTGGCAGTTAAAATCTAGGGGCCAGTTTTAGGGGCGGAGGAATAGTACTAAGCTACATACAGGACATAAAGAGCTCTTCTCATCTGGACTGGCTTCCAGGAGCGCTGGTTCTGGCGGGTGAGGAATAACCAAGTGATGGATGGGTACCCAATGCCCATTGGCCAATTCTGGAGGGGCCTGCCTGCATCCATCAACACTGCCTATGAGAGGAAGGATGGCAAATTTGTCTTCTTCAAAGGTAACCAGGCACCCCACCTTAGTCTTTGGGAGTGGGGAGGGTCTCCCTGGAGGAACTGATTCCACTGGGTTCTTCAAAGACCCCAGAGCCCAAGTTGAACCTTTCTTTCTCCATCACAGGAGATAAACATTGGGTGTTTGATGAGGCTTCCCTGGAACCTGGCTACCCCAAACACATCAAGGAGCTGGGCCGAGGGCTGCCTACTGACAGGATAGATGCAGCTCTCTTCTGGATGCCCAATGGAAAGACCTACTTCTTCCGGGGAAACAAGTAAGACCTCAGGCTCTGAACCGCAAGCCCCTCTCCTCAGAAACACCATCACAACCACCCTTAATTCTGGAGAAAGGCCCTCTTTCCCCCAAGATCTTTCCTTGGAGAAGGTCCTGGCTGAACCTTCACTGTTGCCTAGCAATGGGCAGCCTCATGGGGTGCCGCCTGTGTGGGATGTGACCGGATCATCATTTCAGACCTGGTCATTTGATTCCTCCTGCCCCCAGTGCTGTGCCCCCACCCCAGCAGCCAGGGACTGTCATTAAGGGCTGCTGGTGGCTCCTTGCAGCCTGGGCCCTCCCTTCCACCTCCTCCTTCCACCACTTCCAGCTGCAGGCCTTCATTACCCAGAACCCTCTTCCCTACCCCAGCCACACCAACCTTTGCTCACTGGGGCATGCCACCTTGGGTCCTGCTGCCTTCTGAGGACATGCCCGGTGTCCAACCACCTCCCTCACCCAGGTACTACCGTTTCAATGAGGAGTTCAGGGCAGTGGACAGCGAGTACCCCAAAAACATCAAAGTCTGGGAAGGGATCCCTGACTCTCCCAGAGGGTCATTCATGGGCAGCGATGAAGGTGAGTGGGGCAAGGAAAAGTGTTTGTGAGCGGAGGTGGAGTGGAGTTAAGAAGGCAGAGCAAGGTGTGGAAAACAGGGATGACAGTGGAGTGCTCGCCATGTGCTAGGTGCTGGACTCCGGCTTCTGACACATCCCACCCCTCGGTCCCTGCCACTCTCCCAACCTGGTTTATGATCGTCCCCGTTTCACAGCTGAGGAAAGCAATGTTTGGAAAGAACTTGACTCAAAGTAAAATTGAAAAAAATAAAAAAGGGCTTGGGGCTATAGCTCAATCCAGAGGCCCTGAGTTCAATTCCCAGTATGAGGGGGGAAAGGAAGAAGGGAGGGAAGGGAAGAAGGAAGAAGACAGAGAAGGGGAAGCTGGACAGACGGCAGGAGGGCAGGACGGGCTGCCGTGAGCCCAGCAGGCTGTTAGACTAACCGAGCTCTGGCCCACTCTCTCTTCCTGGGGGCCTTCCCTGCCCCGCCGCATCTCATCTGGCCCCCTCACCACCTTTCTGCTGGACCCTCCAGTCTTCACTTACTTCTACAAGGGGAATAAGTACTGGAAATTCAACAACCAGAAACTGAAGGTGGAGCCGGGCTACCCCAAGTCGGCGTTGCGGGACTGGATGGGCTGCCCTTCGGGAGGCCAGCCAGACGAGGGGACTGAGGAGGAGACGGAAGTGATCATCATCGAGGTGGACGAGGAGGGCAGCGGGGCCGTGAACGCAGCCGCCGTGGTGCTGCCCGTGTTGTTGCTGCTTCTGGTGCTGGCAGTGGGCCTCGCAGTCTTCTTCTTCAGACGCCATGGGACCCCCAAGCGACTGCTGTACTGCCAGCGTTCCCTGCTGGACAAGGTCTGACCCCCACCGCCCGCCCACCCACTCCTACCACGAGGACTTTGCCTCTGAAGGCCACGGCAGCAGGTGGTGGTGGGTGGGCTGCTCCTACCCGTCCTGAGCGCCGTCCCTCCAGCCTTCCGTCTCTCTTCCTGCTTGGCGTCTCCCACCCTCACCCTGGCGTTGCTTCTTCCCTAGATGGGGCCCTTGAGGGCTGAGCAGGAGGGCAGCCCCTTCTAGCCCCTGGCACTCATAGGAACCCTACAGCTTTGCGTGTCCAGCCCCACCTGAATGTCGTGGGGGCTCTGCACTTGAAGGCAGTACCCTCAGACCTCACTGGTAAAGGTCACATGGGGTCATCTGCTCCTTTCCTATCCCCTGACTTACCTTAAACCTCTGAACTCTGACCTCAGGAGGCTCTGGGCACTCCAGCCCTGCAAGCCCCGAGTGTACCCAATTGGTAGCCTCCACCACTCTTTGGCTAAAAGAAATCTAATCTTGGTGGTGGAGGCCCTGAGGGAGGTGAGGGGAAAAGATTGCTCCACCACCTTAAGACCTAGGAGGAAATCTCAAGAAGGGTCTTGATGCCTTGGACCGTCAATTTCCTCCCCACAAAGCTCTGTCTCTGTCTGCCCAACCCTGGAGAACGTCCAAAGAAGGAGCCTGAGCCATTAAGGACTAAGCTGGGGCTGAAGAAACCCTTGGCAGCCCCAACCCCTTGCAAATGTTAGCCTTGGATGGGGATTTCAAGGTTGGGAGAGCTGAAGACAGGGATGTGGCCCAGGGTGGAGTGGGCCAAGTGGAGGACCAGGGCTGGAGCCCTGGAGCGTCAGCCTGACGGCCACAGAAGGAGCCTTGCTGGAATGGCAGGCAACTAGGGCAGGGACCCGAGGCAGAGCAGTCAGCGGGGATGGGAATGAAGTGTGGCAGCCGTGGGTACTGGGGGCCGGGCAGGCCACAGGGGGGGCTGTGGTACCCAGGGGAGGGCACATTTTATTGCAGCTCTCAGGAAGGGCCCTGAAGAAGACACACTGGCTCCACCTTGGCCCCTTTCTTGCTGACTAGACAGCATGAGGGGACGGGCAGGAAGCCCAGAGACAGGAGCCAAGAAGGCACACGTGCAGGGACTGGGGACTTGGGGACCTTGCTGAGAGAGGCCACCTGCTTGTGGGACCAGAGGAGATTGTAGGGCCCCGGCGGGCTCGCCATGCCCAGGGGTACTTCATGGTAGGGTTAGCCCCTCGTTTCCCTGACGCCCACACTCAGCCCACCTCACCGCTGTCCTGCCCTCCCTCTCTGCCACTCAGCCCACCCATTTGAAGTCTCCTTCGGCCACCAAAGGCGGTCATGGTACCGGGGGATTGGGACAGAGACACCTTTGTTGGGGCCAGAGGAGAGGGATGTTGGGGGGTGGGGCATGGGGGTAAGGGAAATGGGGTGAACGGTGCTGGAAGTTCGGCTAAATTTCTGTCTTGTTTGTTTTTATTTTGGGGTTTTTTAATGTATATTTTTATTATAATTATTATATATGAACTCCATTCAAGTCGTTCCTTTTTGTTAAGGGGCATGGGGAGGGGAGGGGGAGGGGGGCAGAGGTGTCTGACCCCAGGAACCTGCAGGGCGGGGCTGGGTCAGTGCCCTCTAAGGACATTTTTGATCTTGTTCAACCTTTCCACAAAGAATAAACTGTGTTTCACATTCTTTGTGTGGCTGCTGCTCTGTTCTGCACAGGGGCGCATGGGATGTGGTAGGGAGGGGGCTGGAAAAGGAGAGAGCTGGCGTTATGAACAGAGTTTTCCATGAGGTGAAGTTTGGGGATTTTCATAAAAAAATATGTTTATTCTTAGTGGACTACTAAGAGGATTCAGGGGCCAGAGCTGGGGAGCAGGACATATACTACTGGGGGCTGGGGACAGAGCCCAACTGTTCACTCCCAGTCTGCCTTAAAAGGCCACCTTTTACACCCAGGGCTGCTAAAAGACAGAGGAAGTGGTCAAGCTGAGCCCACTCGGAAAATCTTCCTAAATTGCATTACACCGCCTGTGATCTGGCCACAGCCTCTCAGTTCCCTGTTCCATCTCTGCCTCGCCAGGAGTATTCCCAAGGTCATGTTCGGCCTCGAGCTCAAGGAAGCCTCAGGACCTAAGAAGGCTCTTCTGGGCCTGGGGCTCCCCTGCTGGGGCAGAGGACACCAGAGAGAAAGTGCCCTGCAGCTTGTCAGCAGGGTCCTTCTCCTGGCAAACAGCGATCTCCCCTCAACTGCCCAGGAGAAGCGGGGTGGCCAGGTTGGGAGGGCAAAATAACAAAGCTTTGTTTCCTCTTTCCTGAGGAGCTGCTGCCACAGACGGGGTTCCCAGGCTACTGACCCACCCTTCCTCCAAAAACCAGCCCAAAGGGTGGAATGGGCTCGGTTGCTGAGTCAGCTCAGCTGGAGGAGAGCAGTCCCCTGTCTTCACCCCCCTTCCCTTCCTGCCTCAGCCCAGCCCACCGGGCTCCAGCCCAGGTCCTTCCACAGTCTGCCTGGCCCCACCTATGCCAGTCATCCATCCAGCTGCTATTCAGGGCTGCTTAGTGTGATTGCTTTGGCAGAGGGGGTACCCTACCTTCCTGCCAGGCAGGAACCCTGACCCCAGGCCTGCCCTTCTGCACCTCCCCTGCCAACAGCTGTTTGGTAGGACAGGTGTGTCTCCTCAGAGTTGGACACCACCCCTCACCACCCTCACCAGAGGGGACAGGAACCTTGAAAAGGTGGCATGGGGAACTCAGGGACATGGGGGGGATGCGTGTGGCAAGGAACTCAAAGATGAGCTCATGTCCCCTTTGTGTTTTTGTGGTCCACATCTGGAGACAATTACAGATGTTATCCAGTGGGAGTTCTGCAAAACACAGCTGGACCCAGTGGAGGAGCTGGGAGGGGGGGGCCTGCCAGAGGGAAGAGGAGGGGGAGCCTCAGGCTCCCGTGGCTGGAGTGCGGTTTCCCCATCACGAGGAAATTGTTTGGCCGTGATTCTGGAATCACAAGATGCTCTCTGAAGCCAAGGGGGAGAGAAGGGAATGGAAGACCAGAGACAAAGGGGGAAGAGGTAGAAGATGGGCTTCAGAAACAGCACTGTGGGGTGGAGGGCTGCAGATGGAGCTCAGTGCCAAACCACTTGCCTGGCATGTGTGGGCCTCAGGTTGGATCTCCCGTACCCCCTCCCCCCGCAAATTTTTTTTGAGGGTGGAGGCTCCAGGGTCCCGTGCTGCTGACGTGCTTGGGCCTGTCCACCCCACCCCACCGAGGCTGCCCGTGACCCTGGGAGGTGCCTTGGTGATCACAAGGCCCCACTGCAATGAACCACTGGGACACACTGGGCCCAGTGGCTCCCGAAGACCGGCAAACTGCTTTTGCTGGCTGATTTGTCCATTGGGCCTGACCCAGTTTCTGTGGTTCCAAGTTCCTTTATTCGAAAGCAGCACATGTGAGCTGGAGCAACCAGCAGGGAGCCAAGAGGAATCTGCAGGGAGGTTTGGGCAGACCCAGGGAGCCAGGTCTAAGGAGGTGCTGGCTCTGGGGCTAGGGCCAGGAAGGGGAAGTATTCTCCCCACCACTGCACCCCATACATTTGAGGGGGGTCATGGGTTTCCCAGTTGCTCCTTCCCCTGTCCAGGGCTCCTGCCACCAGCTGGGCCCATGCCTCCAGGGCTGCCAGCCAGGCGCTGGGTCAGCGGGCTGGGATGCGGAGATCCAAGAGGAGCCACGCCCTCTGGAGGGGAGAGGCCCTGGCACCGCACGGTCTGGCTGCCCCTGCTGTGCCTCACTGTCCACCTCAATCTGATGAACTTCCCAGTCCTCTTCCCCTCTGTAGATGCCTTCCTGTTCCAGCAAAGGGAAGCTGAGGTCCCCACAACATGCAATGACACAAGTACTAACATGGAGCCCATTTTACAGATAAGGAAGCTGAGACCCAGAAAGATACATGACTTTCTCAAGGTTAAAGCTTGTAAGTCCAAATTTAAAGCCCAGGTCAGATTTTTTTTTCTTTTTTCCTGCACAAGCAGATTCTGGCAGTGTCTTGGTTGTCTCCTCCAGTGTGGACCCTGTGTAGCTAGGTCCTCGTGGTATTGTGTCCTGGATCCGTCAGCATATATGGGCTTGCTCACTGCGCTGTGTGACCGCGTCTGTATGGGGGCGGGAGAGCAGGGGAGAGGATTGTTTCTCAGGAAGCTGCTGTGCCAGCCCCCACCCTTCTTAGGGGCAGGAGAAGGTGCTCTGAGAAAAAGAAGGGTCCCCAAGACTCAAGCCCAAGGGGCTATTCGAGACCATGACAGCGGACAGGGAAGGGGTGGGGGCAGTGAACAGCTGGGCTCCCGGGCCTGGGGAGGTGGAGGCCTTCAGGGAGGTGACCATTCTCTAAAGTCCCCAAGAACCCCCAGCCAAGGCTGCTCCACTGCCCACGAGCCCTCCTACCTCCTTCCTAGCCACCCCCAAATCTGAATTCACTTCCTTTAGGAGATCAATTCTGCACACTTAGGCCCGCAGCAGGGGGTTTCTGCCTTTCTCCCTCAGACAGTTTTAGGAGACCAGGGAGACACACGGTCAGCCTGCAAGGGGCTAAGCAGCCAGGGCCTGGAAGGAAGGCAGCCCTGACTGGCCTGCAGCCACCTTCCAAATGAGCTCACACACATACTTTCCACCCTGGCCTAGCGCTGTTGGCTCAGCTCCTTCCAGGCCAGCCTTCCCCAGCCAGGCCCAGCCTGCTCTGCCCTCCCCTGCCACCAGTCCTAGGCCCACAGGCTCCATAGCAGGATCACGGGACACCTTAGGCTGGGATTGTCATTATGTCCCCAGGGAGCAGCTTCCTCCACCTCCCGTGAGGCCAGCTCCCTGCAAAGTCCCTATTCCTCAGCCATCCAGGCCTTCACAGCTCTGAGGTGGAGAGGGAGACAAGCTCCCTGACCCCAAAGACCCACACCTGGGTAGGGAAGGAAGGCAGAACAGACACTGCAGTGAATGGGCGTAAGGGCTGCCTTCGAGTGCCCATAGTCACTCGCTGACTCAGGGACCAGACCTCATCTGGAAGCTGCCTTACTGTGGGTCATATCCTGCTCCGATCACTTGATTTCCCACTTAGGGCTACTTCCCAGACCTGGGGCAGGAAGGAGCTAGGTAGGGCAAGGCCAGGCTGCCCACCAAGAGGAGGAAAGACCAGTGCCTCAGAAGGCCTAATGGATTCATAATACATGCCACAGACCCTACTTGCCTCTATTTATTCCGGGGTCAGTCACCTTCATCCCACTGCCAAAGATGCGTATAACTGGGCCAGCGAACAAGTGCAGCTCCCCGGTGCTCTCCCAGTCTGTTCAGTGCCTGACTATGCTAGGAGCACGGCTGTCCTGACAGTATAGCCTGGATCCAGGAATGTCTCTGGGGCCTTTGAGTTAGGACAGTATATTCAGATGTGGGGGACAATTCTTCCCACTTTAGATCCCCCAAACTATGGCCATTGGAAGTTAATCACATAGCTACTGCCTGCCTTTACCAGGCTCTGATGGCACAGTTCTGTCAAGGAATTCCTATAGTTCATAATTCCCTATCACAGCCACTGACAGACCAGCTCTGTCCTCTTTTCTCTTAAAAGACATGGTGGGGCCAGAGATTTGGGTCAGTGGTTCCGCTGCCTGCCTCGAAAGCACAAGGTCCTGAGTTCCATCCCCGGTACCAAAAAAAAAAGACATGGTGCTGGGCACGCTGAAGGCCTACGGTAAGTGTGTTGCATTGAATCTCCAGTGGTAGTTGTGATAATACATATATAGTATTGTATATACGGTATTGTATACACATGTACAGAAGAACTATGTACACATAAGCAGAGAATACAAAAGCTAAATAATCACTGGGATATACAATTAAACTCCGTGGACTTTGTGGACTTCACTGTAAGTTTTATCTCAGTCTTTAAAAATTTTTTTGTTGTTTTGGTTTGGTTTTGTTTTTTGAGATAAAGTCTTGCTGTGTAGTGCAGGCTAGCATTGAACTCACTATGTAGCCTAGGCTAGCCTTGAACTCACTGTGATCCCCCTGCCTCAGCCTCCTGAGTGCTAGCCTCCCCAGAGTGTGGGCCACCATGCCTGGCTCTTAAAAGTATTTTTTACAAAAAGAGAAAAACTACACAGGTGTAAAGAGGTTCATACACCCAGAACTCTGTAGGGCTCCCCATCCCCAATTTATCCTTAATCTAGGAGGGCTCAGTGTTAGGTTGTGTTGACCTAGCTTTTCCGGAAATCCCAAGACTTGAGGTTGTGCCCCAGACCAGTGGTGACCCGGCCTGGCAGGCCCCGCAGGGGGCGTCTCCTAGCTATACCCCTCTGAGCTCCCTGACAGATGTCCTCGACCCTCCCCTCCACTCTTCCGACCTGGGCTGCTGCAGAGGCTCCCAGGTACCCGCCTGTCGGTCCGCAGCAGAGGGAGGCTCTCAGAACAGCCGAGACTGGCCTGCCAGGGCGTGCAGGGCTGTGGCGCCCCCTCGTGCTGGGTGTGGGGACCGCATCCTGGCCCGGACCTGAGCGGCAGGGCAGAGCCGGCCGGGTCAGGCTGGCCCGGACGCGGACCCCACCGACAGCTCCCTCCCCCTTTCCCCTTCCGTGCTTCCACCCTGACACCTGTACTTAAAGGGGCGGGGCCCTGGGCGAGACAGGCTGACGAGCCGTCCTCAGCCTTC